GACTCCCTCAAGAGTTTGTTCTGGCCAGCTCAGTGGATTGCTTTAAAAAAGGCCTGGATTCTTTTTTGGATACACAGAATATAACTGGATACTAACATTTATAGGTAAAGTTGATCCAGGGAATATCCGATTGCCTCTCGGGGGGATCAGGAAGGAATTTTTTCTCCTGCAGGAGCAAATTGGATCGTGCTTTGCTGGGTCTTTTGCCTTCCTCTGGATCAACTGTGGGTATAGGATTATAACTTTTTTTTTAATGGTTGAACTGGATGGGCTTTTTTTCAACTAGGCTAACTATGTAACCATGTAACCGCCTATGTGATTACCTCCTGTTGGCTGCAATGACCTGATCATTCGACGGCTGCAATGATATGATGAATATATGGCCATATATTTATATTCTATTGCTCTGAATGATTTTTACAATTTCCAAGACTTTTTATAGTGTTTGCATGGACACACTTTGTTTATAGATATGATCTTCTAGCTCACTTTGCTCCTTACGCTTTATTGGGAATGAACTCTCTAACTATCCAAATATATGTGGCATTTATTGCAGGTGTGTTAAGGGGGGTCTAAGGGCTCTTTTACACTGATCCTCCTCTGGACCGTGTTCCTAAGGCGGGCATGACAGGGAGGTGAGGGTATTATATATTACTATCTTCCTCCTGTGGATCACATCTGCTTCCAAGTATCCAATGCGGACTTTGTCATTTTGGATCTCAATGATCAACTAATCTGGATTTGGATGTACATTTACTGTGTAAGAGGAAGGTTTGATTACAGCATACATACTGCAAGGCACGGCTATCCTCCTCTGGACTACATGTTTTACTGGAAATAGGGATCTTCCCATTATGTGTATCTAATGAAATGATATTGTCTGGATGACACCTGTCAATTGTTCTTGCAGGAAAGAACAGCATATACATCCAATAGGATATCAAACTTTTTAGTGATGGATTTCAGAAACTGTACAAATCCTTTGAATAATGATTTATACCTCAACATATGTGGCTGGGTAATATGTTTTAGTACCAGGAGGCATCCATACAAAAGGTATTAGAGGTTTATGGAGGTGTTTTTATACTGTATTATGTTTGTCGATATTTTTGTATAATTAAAAGGAGTTGTTTGTATGTTCTGGCCATGTACTTATATTTGATGGTGATATAAGAACCACAAAACTCACTCCAATCTGGTTGAGCCTATACCTAATGGTTTTTTAGTTTGGGTGTACGATATAGTTTTGCTTAAGAGATACCAGATTATCATTTTTGAAGGACCTTTAGGCTGCTAAAGTATCACGATACTATATTAATTACTCACTCTGCACTGGGTACTGTTGAGCAAACTTTTTTGGTGGAATGAACACCTTGTCAGGGTGGGCCTGTGTACAAAATATCCTTTAAATTAGAATGTACATAAAAGGATTAAGGATGCTGTGGTGGCCACCAAGATCTTCAATCCTGTAACCTTTGAAGTAGAGGATATGGAAGAAGTAACTTCAAATCAGTCCAGACAACTTCAACAAGAAAACTCACAAAGGCAAACCCTGACCCTGGGGTTCTTCCAGAATAGATTCCTCAAGATGAGAAATCACATGTGTCTCAGTCTGGTGGAACAGTTTCATGTTCCTTTACCTCATCCTCCATAGGTTTCTCCTCAGTTAACAGGAAGGGGGTAGGAGAGGGGGAAACGCTACCATTTATGACCAAAGCAGTTCAAGCCAGCAAGAATTTTGTAAAGCTGTTGCTGTACCCCATTGATGGGAGATGAAAATTCCTCCCTTGTCACAAAGGAACTGGAGGAAGGTGCCCCAGAAGTAGAAAGGAGATACCAGATAGGTGGTGGGAGTCATATATGCATGGAACATACTATCTCCCAGGGGATACAATGCATGAGGGCTACACCCAGGTTCCTCCCTATCTGAAGACGTATTTTTGACCCATCATCTCCTCCCCTCTGGACGGGAGACTGCTTAGACTGCTCAGACATAACCATCGCACAAGACACTAGCAGAAAAACTGAAGCCTTGTTTAGCAGGAAGGGGTCATGTCTAGGAGGGGAAGTTTTTTGCCAGTGTCCAATCACCTTAAGGTGACAGCATAACATTACCATAATGGAGATAAAAACACGCTGTGTCCTGGTATGTACAATAAAGAAAGAACTGTATGCTTGTTCAGAACAAAGCCCCTTAAAAAGTAAATGTATAGCAAGTTTTCACATGTTAAACAGTTAGCCACCTCTGGGCACCAGCACTCTGAATTTCCTGGCAGCCGTGAATATTTGGGATGTGGAAATACTGAGCAGTTCTTGAGGGCAATAGCTCTGACAGATCCCCATTCTGAAACGCACTATTCACCAGATGCTGATAAGTGGCCTTACTAATTAATACTGCAGTGTTAGAGATGGGAAGGGGTGAGCACAGGCATCAACTACTGAAGATAATTTATATTTGTATAAGATAGCCCCCTGTATTAAGGGCACCTGATATGCTCTATGAAAATAGAGGAATCTAGCATGCAGGTGCCTGCTATGTGGCTTCAGAAGCAGTTTACCGTTTGTGGTGTGGCAAGTCTGCTATAATGTAGTATATAAATATAATAAAATATGAATTATGACAAGACCTGTCATCGTTCATCCTGCTACTATTGTGCTTTACACAACAGTACATTTTTCTGCGATGGCGGAATAGAGTAATAGAAGGGCTTGCTTACCCAACCTAAAAAAAAACCCGCTGCTCCATTCTCCCACTACAGTAGGTCACAAGACCAAAATTTGAGAGCTCAAACTCTGCTGCCAAGCTAAGCTATTTTTATCCCTCTTAAAAATCTATCACATGACCCAACACCTGAACCCATTTTATACAGTTTTTGACAAAATTGGTATCTTTTACAAAAATGATTTGAAATGATATTGTTAGATGTATGAATACCATACATATACAGTGCTCAGCATAAAGTACACCACTTTTGAAAAGTAAGACTTTAATCAATATCTCAATGAACTATTAGTTTTATAGAACATTTGTTTAGCTCATTACATGAAAGTAAGGTTAATAATATAACTAGGATTACAAAATATTCAGTTTTACTCAAATTAGTTGATGCAAAAATGAATACACCCCACAACCAAAACTGCTACATCTAGTATTTTGTATGACCTCCATTATTTGTAAGGACAGCACCAAGTCTTCCAGGAATGGAATGAACAATTTGGCAACATTTTGCAACATCTATCTTTTTCCATTTTTCAAGAATTTTAGAGCCTGGATACTGGATGGAGAGAGATGCTCAACTTGTCTCTTCCGAAATTCCCATAGGTGTTCGATGGATTCAGATCAGGAGGCATACTTGGCTACTGAAATCACTTTCACCCTGTTCTTCTACAGAAATGAAAAAATGTGGCCTTACATGTGTGTTTTGGATCATTGTCATGTTGGAAAAGTGCACGACAACCAAGGGCATGGAATTAAGGTAGCATCTTCTCTTTCAATATAGAGCAGTACATCTGTGAATTCATAATAGCATCAATGAAATGCAGCTGCCCGACACCAGCAGCATTCATGTAGCCCCACAGGAGGACACTGCCACCACTTTTCACTGTAGGCACCAAGCATTTTGCTTTGTAGTCCTCACCTTTGCGACACCATACAGTTTTGAAGCCATCAGTTACAAAAATATCTATCTTGGTCTCATCACCCCAGATTTGAGCCCCGAATAGTCTTCTTTTTTCAGCATGGGCCATGGCAAATTCTATGTGGAAACATAAAAATTGCTGTGCTGCCTCTCCCAAAAACTACTTTAAATAAATAAATGAAGGAACTCCCTACAACACAAGACGTTCCCACAAATGTGTATGTGCTATAATGCCCCACGGGGGCTGGCAATTATATCCCTCCTCCCAAGTGACTAAATCCCAAATAAACCAATAAGTAAATACAAGGTGCTTAAACGACAACAGTGCTAAAATAGCACATATACGATGCCATGAAACTGTATACAGTGAAATCGTCTAAAACAATATATATATTTTAATATATTAAAGTCCCAATATTTGTGCAAACATAAAAGTTTAAAAAAAAAAATTGCAAGTTCCAAAAAAAACCCCAAAGAAACCCCCATCCGCATCCGGTGTGAATATAAAGTGATACAGTAGTAAATCTTCTTATCCATAGCAATTCTCTGTGCGTAGTGCTCCAATTAGTGCTCCCTCTCCAGAGCCCCACTCACCACAGATAACTGACCAACTGGAATGGTAGGTCAAATATCGCATGAGATGTCGCAGCGCTCTCCTGCAGGAAAATTGGCCGTCTGTGTGGTCTTGACACCTCTATATGCTGATGACAGACTCCATAGTGGGAAACACTTCTAGATCAATTGTTTGCGAAAAAAACTCCTCTAGAACCTCCACAGTACTCCTTCACTGCCATAAAAACCTCAAAGGGAAACTTCCATAGCGTAACACCATATTTGTTAGGTAAAAAACATTTACCATTGCACTTACATAAAAACCATGTGTATGGCACTTTAAATCCCAGCAAAAAGTAATTTCTTCTGAGGACAAGTGTAGTGCTATCAAGCCCTGCTCTACATGTTTCATCGAATTACATCATCAGGACGCTCTAAGTAACGCCCTTTTATTATCAACTGTCTGCTGGACACCTGTTTAATGATTAATTAGACTCACCTGTAGTTAAATTCTTGTTAATTAGGATTTTGTCTAAAATAAAGCTTTGCTCCTAAGACTTTCATTGGGGTGTATTAATTTTTGCTACATGGTCTTGAATGAATTTGTTAGGAAAAATACATATTTGTGTGTGCAAATTAACAAATCTTGTTTGCAATCAATGACCCGGATTTGTGGGAGTATTTGTAGTATAGTGTCCCATAGAAAGTGTTGATTCCGAAAGTAAAGTAAAGGTTTTCTGACAAATCTGTTAGGGTGTATTCATTTATGCTGAACCACTGTATTTATCTCACAGATTCTTGGTTACTTACATGCAGGTGTTACTTCTCACAATTCCCACATGTTCAGGTTGGGATGTGGAAACTAAGGCTGGTGTGAACTCCTGAGGAGATGTCAGATACCGAGGAAGGTGAGGCTGCTGCTGTACTAAAACCTGTTGTTGCTGTTGAAGTTGCTGCTGTTGCAGTAACTGGGCCTGTTGGTAGTGGTGAACCTAAAAAATAAAAATCGGAGATTAGAAATCTTGAAATCAGCTGTATATACAGCATGTGTCTATATTTCACACATTTTAGGTTACAATATTAAATGTGGCCACAGAAAAAAAAAAACTCTTCTCATTGCCATCTGAGTGCTTATGGCAGTGGCTCTGTGAATATGTTCACCATCTTTGATATGCAGCAAAAAACATGTCTTAAGACATAAGAGTTTAATTGTCCAGGTGTACTATGTACCCCATACTCATTCAATTTGGGGGGGGTTAGGGTGGATCTGGGGGCCCCCTTGTTAAAGAGGACTTCCACATTCCGATAAGTCACCCCCCACATCAAAATCCCACAACCACCAGGCCAGGGCTGCGGTGAAGAGTCCCTTGTCCCTATCAACGTAGGCATGGTGCCCTTATCCAAGTAAGCAGTAACATCAAGAAAATCATGCAGTTTCATTTACACTGTATCCTGTTACAAGCTAGAGTAAAAAAATAATTTAAAGCTTAACTGCAGGAAAACTAAAAATCCTCCCTTGCAGTGGGGCTGTGCCCACACTGCAAGAGTTAACTGCTTATTTCTGTCTAGGGGACTGGGTAAAGAAGTTTTACTTACCTGATCCTCCATTCCTACAGGCTTCTTCGCGTGGCTAAACCAGTCCCTGCGGCCTCTTTTCCCCTGTGCTCTGGAGGTCTAAGGTTCTCTGACATCATCAAGATCTACACAGGCCCCATAGCAGTGCATTGGACATGAGGATGCTAAGAAGCAGTCCACTGGCAGAACATGAATGAGAGCTGTCTGCCAGGGGAGTGGAGGATTAAATTTACACAATGTAAAAAAACACTTGAGCAAAATATTTTGTGCACACAAAATTAAGGAAAAATGACATTTGTTGGTTCTGTAAGTATTTACTTATGTTAAACAAGTCAATATAACAGATCATGGCCGAAGTTAAGTAAAGGTCTCTTACCATGGCTGCATATTGAGGAGGAAGGTGTTGTTGCTGGTATAGGGACTGCATTAAATATTGTTGCTGAAGAATTTGGTGCTGAAATGCTTGTTGATACTGCACAAACAGAACAGAGTTTCTAGTCAAAGTTCATATAATCACACATTACATATTGGTTTACAGCACTAATATAAACTTACTTTTTTTATTTCATTGGGCATTACAGTTTACCTCTCAAAACAACATTTCCATCTTTGCTTCTGACATTCCACAGACAATACAAGGTAGTTTAATTTTTTAACTACAGACAACACAGTAATAAGAGTAAAAACCCTACATTTTAAACATTAAGTGGACTGACCCTTTAATTCCCTAGTAGACCTTGTCACACCACATCTTCACTGTGTTGCTGCACAAAAGTGAATGTTATGATACAGAATTTTCACAGGCATAAATAGCAAGTGTAAGAAAAGGTGGAGGTCAACACGATTTCTTGGAGCTGGACCTTCATTCTGGAGCATAAAAGGGAATTTCTTTTTTTTTTTTTATAACTCAAAAACATCTCCTTCCATTCAAATAATCAATAACAGTACCAACATAATACATGTTGGTACACCCTAAACGTAAACATAAAAACAAGGATCTGCACCTCAAAATGAAAACCTACTTGGTCCTGCCAGAGCTCAAGGAGTGCAGGGGAATACACAAAGATTATCGGAGACACCAAAAGAGGTACTCTTTCTCCATACTGGAAATAAAATTGTGCAGAGAATGGCCAGATTCAAAATGTGCAGACCTGCTGTTCCCCGATCATGGTCAACTCCAGAGTGGAGTCCAGCTCCATGAAGATTCTTTGTTGATCTCCACCTTACTACATATGCTTTGCAAAGATCTTTGAAAGGCATCACACCCACCCAAGTTCACAATAGTAATGCCACCAGCACAGTAAATCACTACCTGCTTCATGTAGGCTTCCTGGATGAGCTGCTGTTGCTGTAACTGGTGAAACTGTTGTAGTCTCCAGTCACCTTGCTGCAATTGCTGTAAAACCCTGTGCTGCTGCTGTGGGGGCTGCTGGTTACCATCCTGAGCCATAACTGTTTCAGGTACATGACCAAATCTTGCTGTTGTGTCTGTGGATGCTGAATAGACAATATTATTATATATATATTTACACACACACATATATATATATATATATATACACACACACATATACATACATACATACATACATACATATACACACACACACACACATACATATACACACACACACACACACACACATATATACACACACACACATATATACATACACACACACACACACACACAACTATGCAATAAGTTTACTAAAAAATACAAAAAAAGACAACCACAGTATGATGCATACATTGTCACGGAGAGGAAGGGGGGGGCAGAACTTCTGCAGGTATGAAATGCAGACGTCCAAGTAGTAGAGACAAGTGGAACATAAGCCTTCCTGTCACAGGCATTGCTCAGGCTGTTCTATTGCCAAAGGTTGCCTGTTTGTGTCTGCCTCCTGTGAATTCTTATTGAAAAGTCTGCCCATAATAGTGATGGGCTAATAGGAAAATGTGAAAGCAAGAGTTAGCAGCAAGCTTCAACACCAGACGTATCGGAGCTTTGCCTGTCAGAACAACCTAGCATTTAAAAGCGATAGCAAAAGTGCTGTTCGTCCTAGTTTTAGAGCTCTTTCAAAGGAGAGTCCGGAGCTACACAGACATTATGGGGATCTATATTGGGTCCACGGAACATAATCTATCGACTTATGTCAATTATCTATTTTTTTTATCTGTCTAAACCCCATATTTCTCTTCTGGTACTTGTGACAAAACTTCAACAGTTTGGCCTATTACACTGTTCAACAAATTTTTATTTTTTGCCAGTTTTGGAAACAAAAGGATCCATTTCTTAATGAATTTCACATTCTGAGTTCAAATATAACAATGAAATTTGTCAATTGGCTCTAGTTTTTCTGTAAACGGAAAGTTTTCTACTATAGGCGTAATGACTACACAATGCACAATAATTATATAAATAGATGTCTTTCCACAAATATAAAGCAAGTGAGATTGACTACATAACAAAGCCTAAATGGCATAATATATTGCATAGGATTACCAAGAAAAAATTATAGCCATAAGCTAAGTTGAATCATTTTAATACTTAGGATTCTCACTAGTTTTGTCTTCAGTTTGTGTCGGTTTTGCTTCTCTTGGCTTTTCTCTTGTATTCGAGGAAAGGGCTATCTCTTACATCTGCACGTGACTACGCGCTTCAGGTTCTTCCTCACTTGACTCAACCACGAAGGATTCTGGTGCTTTAGGAATTGGTAGCCCCTCTCCATGAGGAACTGGACGTATTGCCGATGGAATATTTGGATAGTGCACAGATAACTTTTTCTTCTTATTTAGCCCTTTTACAATTGGAGGCACCATACAAAAGTAACAATTACTAACATGATCTGTTGGCTCTCTCCAAATCATTGGCACAGCGAAAGGCATAGATGCCTTTTTTCCATTCAACCATTGCTCCAGTGCCGTCCCACAAGAATTGCAGCATATATGTGGTGCCCAGCTCTTGTCCTGGTCTCCTATCTTGCAGCCAAAATACAAGTTGTAGGCTTTCTTAATCATTCCTGTTATCCTCCTTTTTTGTGAGATAAAAGTTATTTCACCGCAGATATAGCAGAAATTATCTGCTTTATTCACACAAGTTCGAGGCATTACTGAGTAGCCTATATAAGCATAAAACGAAATGTAAAGACGCTGTCGAACTACAATCAGCTACAGATACTGCAGCTTTTATGCAGTGAAGTGATGCAATTAAAGGCTAATATTGCATCATCTCAGTATACATGCAATTTTCTATTGGTCACCAGTATCAATTGCGCAATATGCAGCTGAAGTTGCATCATAATTTTGAATGGCTTACGTCATTAGATGGGTGAATATATCATGGAAGCTAGAGCCAATCAACATTTTTTAGGGTCATTTTCGTTTTCAGCACTCCAAAATTATGTAAGATTAGCTAATTTTATGCCCAAAACTTTTTACCTGTTGAACAGTGTTATCGAATTTTAAAATAAATTATCATAAGTTTGAGCTATTACCAATTCATGTTCCCTCCCCATTGGCTGAATCTCTGCAACAGTCTTTCACTTTTTAGTGGCGGTAGAGCTCTTTTCTGTACCTGGGGACCCATATATCACCCGACCCAAAACTTCTCTATGACCTTAACTATGGCACAATGCTGACTGATGTGCTGAAGGACTTGCAACAATGGAGATACCATCCCTCAAGTTGGTTTTGGGAGGGCAATTGTTTTAAAAATGACAATCCTACGAGGATCATATATACAATACCCATTACCTTACCTCAGGTTTTTTTTAAATGGCTGCATAAAGCATTCCTGACCTTCATCTGACATAAGCACCTCAGGTTGGCGTATGACATCTTACATAGACATAAGCTGGATGTTGGGGTTGGTCTCCGAGACATGGCTCTATATTAAAAGGCCATGGCACTTGTACACATCTTAAATTGGCATCAAGAAGTTGACCATTAGACAAATAGAAAGTTCCCTTCTTCACTTCCTTTTTCACAGGACCCCATCTTCCATAAAGCTCTATAAAAAGAATGTCACTCCCCACTTGCTGAATGCAGTAAAATCTTTAATTCTTAGAATTTGGAAACAAACTACTTGTCCTACACTTTTTGACTGGAAGAGGGAAATAGAGGCAATTATGGAAGCTGAACGATGGGCGCATATGGTTACAAATCAATCAAGAGAAATTTAGAGATGTATGGATGGGTTGGATGTTCTACTCTGTCAGATGACATATTATTTCCCTGTATACTATATAGCAGCTTATTTGCCTTCTTCCAAACAGATTGGCATCATTGCTAACCCCTGTGTTTTTGTTTTTTGTCCACCCGAGTACTGTTAGTTGGGCAGTTTTTTCATCTGCCTCACTCACACCCCCCCTTTCTTTAATGTATTGTATAGCGATGTCTTTAATAGTGCACGTTTTATATGGTTTGTCCTAGTGTGCTGCTACTACTCCAGGCCATGCCACAATCTTGATAGTCCTCCTGTACGCAATCTTGATAGTCCACGTAGGCCTGATTAGACCTGCATGCCTCTGTGTGGGAGTAGTCATACTTTAGCCATTTCGGATCTGTACACAATGCTGTACACTATATGTGTTTTAAATATATCCTATTCTGGGATCAGTTTCTTTTTTGTACTGCCTGAAAACATTAATAAAGATTGAATATTAAAAAACAAAGTGATAGCAAAGTTTTCTTTAGCTACCGGTATGTTTATTAACTTTAGGTGGCTTCACTTCATAACTCCAGGAGTTTGCCCCCTTTCCCACCAATCACAGTCTCTTTAAACATTTCACCATGCATACATTCTGATCATTTCTATAATTTAAATAAAAGAACAAAAATAATCTCTTTTATGGTTAATCTTCTAAATTCTAAGCACATTCACCAGACTATGATAATATACAGGTGTATCTCAATAAATTAGAATATCATCAAAAAGTTCATTTATTTCAGTAGTTCAATTCAAAAAGTGAAAATCATTCACTATATAGATTCATTACACAGTGATATATTTCAAGCATTTCTTTCTTTTAATTTTGATGATCATGGCTTACAGCTAGTGAAAACCCAAAATTCACTATCTCAGAAAATTAGAATATTACATAAAATCAATTTAGGAAAAAAAATTAAATTTAGAAATGCTGGTTTACAAAAAGTATGTCCATGTACAATATAGTATGCACTCTATACTTGGTCGGGGCTCTTTTTGCATGAATTACTGCATCAATACAGCGTGGCATGGAGATGATCAGCCTGTGGCACTGCATTATGGAAGCCCAGGATGTTTTGATAGCGGCCTTCAGTTCATCTGCATTGTTGGGTCTGGCATCTCATCTTCCTCTTGACACTACCCCACAGATTCTCTATGGGATTTACGACAGGGGAGTTTGCTGGCCAATCAAGCACAGTGATACCATTAAACCAGGTATTGGCACCTGCCCACACTGCCAAAAGTACCAAGTCCTGCTGGAAAATGAAATCAGCATCTCCATAAAGCTGGTCAGCAGAGAGAAGCATGAAGTTCTCTAGAATTTTCTGGTAGAGGGCTGCGCTGACTTGACACGATAAAACACAGTGGACCAACACCAGCAGATGGCATGGCTCCCCAAATCATCACGGACTCTGGAAGCTTCACAATGGACCTTATGCAACTTGGATTCTGTGCCTCTCCTCTCTTCCCCCAGACTCTGGGACCTTGATTTCAAAAGGAAATGCAAAATGTATTTTCATTTGAAAAGATGACTTTGGACCACTGAGACACAGTCCAGTCCTTTTTCTCCGTAGCCCAGGTAAGACAAGGAATGTGAAAGTTGTATCCCATATCCTGGCTATGTCTGTATCTGGTGGCTCTTGAAGCATTGATACCAGCCGTAGTCCACTCCTTATGAATCTCCCTCAAATTCATGAATGACCTTTGCTCCTCTCAAGGCTGTTGCTTGTGCACCTTTTTCTACCACACTTTTTCCTTCCTCTCAACTATCTATTAATATGCTTGGATACAGCACTCTGAACAGCCAGCTTCTTTAGCAATGATTTTTTGTTACTTACTCTCCTTGTTGTGGGTGTCAATGACTCTTCAGGACAACTGTCAAATCAGCAGTCTTCTCCATGATTGTGTAACCTACTGAACCAGACTGAGAGACCATTTAAAGGCTTGGGAAACCTTTACAGGTGTTTTGAGTTAGAGTGTGACACCATGAGTCTAAAATATTGAACTTTTTCACAATATTCAAATTTTGTGAGATACAAAATTTTAGGTTTTCACTAGCTGTAAGCATTAATCAAAATTAAAAGAAACACTTGAAATACATCACTGTGTGGAATGAATCTATAGAATATATGAGTATCACTTTTTGAATTGAATTACCAAAATACATTAACTTTTTGATGACATTTTAATTTATTGAGATGCATGTGTATAATGAAGATGCTACACATATGCACAAGCAGAGTCATACAATCTGTCACACAAATATTGCAATCTTTTAGGTGTCTATTACAGTTATTCCTTTTACCATTGGAGGTTTGATTTGGAGGACTCTGCATTGCCATCTTGACTGGGGTTGCAGAACTTTGGAAATGTAGCACCTTTGTTGCAGCTGTGCCAGCAAATGCCTTTGGTCTCTGTCTTGGAGCAATGGATGTCTCTGTAGGCCCCAGTGAGTCAGTTATTCTGTAATATAGAACACATTTTCTGGAATTAAAAATTAGCATTTTTAGACAACAAACATTAGCTGAAATGGTTGACTTGTACCGAATTGACAATGTGATGCATGTAAAGTTATCATCCAACAGCAATCTTGCCCACATGTGATTCAGACTAAGAACAAAGGAAACTGAATTTTCAGTTTAGTGACACAGATGGAGGAAAAAAACAAAAAAAAATATGTACTGTATATAAACCTAAGTTCACCAGCTGGCTTATCATATCTTGAGAATAGAGCCATGACACTTTCAAATTGTATTATCCTTATATTGTTAAAATAAATACCCAATAAGGAGGTCCATTTTTTTCTTGTACTGTAATTAAAGCTCAACTCCAGGGAAAGAAAAAATCCCCCCTTGCTCCTACACTGCAAGGTTTAATGAGCAATTAGATCCTTCCTCTGTCACGGGCTTCCTCCAAGCTGTAAGACCAGTCCCTGCAGCCTCTTCTCCAGTACGGTGGTTGCAGGTGCTCTAAATGTCATCTAGTCAAATGCAGAGCTCATAGCCCTGCAATATATGTGGGGGTGCCAAGGTACAATCCACTGCTGAAGAGTAGGGGAGAAGAGGAGAGCACTGGCAGCCAAAACAAGCAGTAAATCCTTGCAGTGTAAGGACATTTAACCCCTGCAATGTGGGGACAACTCCTCTGCAAGGGAGGATTTTTTCCCACCCAAAAGGTTTGTGTTTTAAAAAGTAGGTGAGTAATTCAACTCTCTTGCATTCATCTCAAGTCACGAATATCAGTTCTGTGTAGACCATTTCTGCACACCTACAGTTTTGATCTTTCAGACAAAATGTATTAATGTAATATGTATACTCTTTAATCAAGAATAAGATCAGCAAAATAACCAGTGTCACCTCACAAAAACAGATTTTTCTTTTTAGTCTGTACAAATGATACTGCATATAAATAATTTTATTAGGTCTTCTAATGTCTTGTTATACCAGTAAATATAAAAAAAACTATTCAATTTTCTTTTCCCACTATTTGTAACAAGCACAGAGATGCTTTGGCAATTCTGTAAAAAGCTGTACATTTTGACACATGCTGAAATGATGAAAATTGTGCTATTTCTCATGTCTTCTATTTTTCAACCACTAGATGATGCTAAACATCAACTTTTTCAGACTTCATACTGTGTGTTTGCAGTTATATAGAACACCCACAACAAAAAGCATTTGCTTGATTCTTCTGTGCTTTAATACAAGAGTTGTGATGCAGAATTGGAGAATTCAGACACTGTGTGTACTTTTTCAACCTGGATACCAACAGGCTGAAAGGAAAAGTTCTCTTCTCTAAGGAATTAAAAAGTTGAACAACATTGTACGAAGGCTCAGCGGTATCTGTGTTGAAGTGTATGTAATCCCCAACAATAAACTTCTTATCTGCTACATATATCATCTTTGTAGGATGTAACAAAAAAAATAAACTTGTTGATCCTGCCAGAAATATAGTTCGCTGATAACTTCCTATATATTCTGTGGATTATTTACTAAAACTGGAGGTTGCAAAATCTGGTGCAGCTCTGCAGAAAAACCAATTCGCCAAAGCCTAATTGAACAAGCTGAATTAAGAAGCTGATCAGCTACCATGCACAGCTGCACCAGATTTTGAGTGCTCCAGTTTTAGCAAATCTACCCTCTGTCTTATTACTATTAATAAACACTCTTCTCAATTCTCTCAGAAAACCCTCTATGTTATGGAGAAGAGGAGAAAGGGAGGTATTCTGTAGTACTAATACGTTTCTTTTCCTAGGGTAACAACACTGCTCCTTCACAGATACAGTGTATTGAGCAAGGGTGGTCCACCTAGGGAAGGTAGCATGGCACTGGAGGAATCAACAGGTGAAAACAAAAGAAAAAAAACTGAAAAGAGAAAACTAATGCAGCCACCACATCTAAGGACTGGTAGGCTGCAACATTTTACATTTTTTGTTTATAGACGAAGGTGCTTAGCACTTATTCCCTGTAAAAGCTGTGATTCTGGGTTTGGTTTCTACCAGGGACTTAATGTGAATGATCTGTATTTCCTTCCAGAAGCCATCACAGGTTACATTTTTGTTCCAATATCTAATTTCATACTGGCATATAAACTTGCTTTCAAATAAACTGAATGTTGACTGTCTGTCTGCACACTTGCTATTAGAACACTAGACTTCTAAATTGCATGTGGATAAGGATTCTAGCAAATCGTGAATGTGTACTCAGCAGATTAGGATGATTATATGTAATTGAACAAACAGATGAAATGGAATGTATTACTAAGAAAATAGTGCTGAGGTATGCAACAATTTGCTAAATAAAGTACCATTTTTTTTTTTGTTAAGTCTTGCAAAACACATACAGTAAATGTTTCAATGCAATTCACTGTGGAGTAAGCCATTTTGTATACAAATCTGTGTTTTCAATTCACTGAGTGTTCTAAGCTCCAGTAGATTTCTGCCATAGATTTGACATTTAAATAAAATGCTCCAAAGCCATGGGTGTGGCGGTGGGGGTTTATAAACTAGAGGAGAAAGGGTATGTATCTATCTTAACAAAGGAACATATCTTATTTGGTTATTGTGGCCTTTTAAAATGAAAGAAAAAAAAAGTGTGTGTACAATCTTGCTTCAAAGAAACTAGAAAGGTAAAAACTGTTTTAAATTATTTTTAAGTACACTTTGTGAATGAGAATACATAAACATATAGTGGGAGTTTCCCAATTTGACTGCAAAAGTGGAATTACACTTTAAAGTGAACCTGTGCCCAGACTATGGACATTAACATTTATATATATTCTTCACAAGTAGTAAAGGTATTTTATGACAATCATTCATGGACCGCTGTAGCTATAGGTACTATGAAGTAATTCATCCTCAAAGTTCACAAGTTGGATTTCAGTTAGCTTTTATCAGCTTGCAGTACCTGCTCTTTGTTTACATAGTTTAGCAGGCTGTCAAGTTTCTGCTGACATGGAAAATAAGGGAAGATCAGTGGTGATTTCTCTATATTTGGTAAGAACTTTTTTGAATCCAGCAGTTTTTTTTTTTTCATTGAAAGACAATTGTACAGGTTTTAGTGGTAACAAACAGGCAAACCAATGAGCAAGACAAGCAGTCTAAAGCTAGCCATACACTAGTAGAATTTCGAACAAACATTTGTACGAATATTTCTACAAAAACTCGATGACTTGATAAACATTGCTTGAAAATTGTGTTTAGTTATACTGTTCAATTTTGGAATGAATGTAATTTCTCAAACAAAAAACACACAAACTATTAGAAATTCGTCTGAAAAAAAATTTTCCATCCTGCTCCTTCTAATTTTCTCACCTCTATAGAAAATGAATAGAAATGAATAAAAAATGAATGTCGATTTGAGCCCACTAATTAATAGAAAGAACATTTTTAAAAATGAAACGTTTTAACCTAAATTCTATTAGTGTATGGCCAGCTTAACAATAACAGTCATCTATCTGTCAAGTCTTCAAATTCCCAACAATGGAGAGGAACAAGATATCCTGCTATTGAACATGAATCAGTGGTGTACCTGAGCCCACTGTCAACCAGGCATCTACAGAAATGCAAAGAATGCAACAAGCACCTAAAGTTCCCACACATGTAGACTTAGCGCTTGTCAGTAGAGAATGTAACAACGACGACAACAAACAGCAAAAAACATATCCTGGCTATAAATGAGATGGGGGGTGGAGTAGGGATAACTAGTGTTGTGCAATTAGCTTTTTAGCAAAAAAAAGAATAACCTAATGGCCAGTAGCAAGACCTCAAGTGGGTGTAAATCACTAGCTAGTATGTCCAATATGCATACCCTAGGATCAACAGCAATAGGGACTTGTAGTACCATGGAAAAAGTTGAATCACGGCTGTCCAATAGCGAACAAATTTAGGGCATAACATGTGGATAACTGTCCTAGGACCATGGCCACACTTGGGACAGTCAGGTGAACCTCTCCTGCCACAAATATATAATTTGTCAGGATTCCAATACATTTGATGCACAATAAACAATTGTTAAAGTTTACCAAGCGTTACTAAACTCTTGTTTTTAATTTGGTCCTTCAGGTAAGCTTATAATAAGTCTTACCTGTAGATAGGGTGAATATCTTCCAAACTTGCACCATTTAGGAGGTATTTACGTTGGCTCTAGCTGATGACGTCCCTGTTCATGAGCAGTGTGCTCTACAATCAGGGCAAACTGAGTGTGCAGTGAAAGCACAGAGCACCATGCCGCGATGACGACTCCTGTGCACATGTTCCCATAATCAGATTAGCAGTGAAATAGTCACAAACCTATCACGTAACAGTACATGTCATCTTTACATAAGCCCTATTTAAGTATACAGGTAAAATAAAATGCCTCCACATTTCTGCAAGGAAACCTCTTAGGAAGGCAACCGATTTATGCTTTTCGGTATTAAAAAAATAAAAATCTTTCATAACTAAATGTAATTTATTATATATTTACAAACTGATCTGAATCTGAATGTTAGGACGATAGCCAAAAGGATGTCAGATGAAGCTTTTATCTTCTCTGCACATTTAAAATACTGGGCAATGTTAAAACATTCAAGGCCAGATTGACTGGGGCATAGAGCAATAGGGTTGCCAAATATGGCATACATCTACATAGTAAACATTACTGTTTATGCTCCTTTTTGTTGCCAGGTCCTGGTGTGCCTTCTAATCCATGCACTATGAAAACTGCACACTTCTCTTCTCACCTTATGCTTGCGGAGGACATGTAACCTCTCAATCTCAAAGATTAGAAGACAATTCTTGCAAAGCAGGACTTTGGTGAAATAGAAGGTGGACATACGTACTTGTAATGGTGAAGGGAGAGATTATTCTCAAAAGTCCTTATAAAGCATTACTGAACTTAAAAATATAAAAGGTAGGAATTTCTCTGGTCTGTAGGAGTACACCAATACAGAAGTGGATAAGGCTTCACAACACCTAAATCCTAATGCAGATTGAATGTCAATGTACTTGTCTGAAAGATAATGCATACATCTCACTCGCTTATGGATTTCACAATTTCAGAAAATATGTATACAGAAATATATGATGGGGACAAAGCGGATGCTCACCGCATCTTTCCTTTTATTGCTCCTCTGACAATTTTCAGGTCAAAAATGATCAAACTTTGACTGACAGATCAGAAAAAACTTTTGTAACTAGGAATGCCTAGACTCTGCCTCCTGTTTGTTGAAATTTCTTTGCACACTACATGCACATTTACAACATATTGATCAGTTTAATCGAACAAAGCATTTGACATTTGCTGGGAGCACATTCCTGTTAAGCTCCACCTATCTTAGAAAGCCCTGCACCTTTGTCCTATGTGTGTCATGACTGGTGCATGAGTATAAAGGGTATGGTCTCGGTTGTCTTTTATGTTACTGTGGTAGTAACAGCAGATTAGCCTTCAAAATTCACAAAAAGTGACACTTTTCACAATCTAACCTCCTTCTGTCAATCTGTGTTAGCGTACTGTGTAACCATCAAGTTGTGACATCAAAATATTCTGCTTATAAAGATTTTATATACAGAACATGCCACAGAAATGTCACAAAAGAACTGTAATTTAAAAACAAAACCAAACAAAACCATGCTCCTATTATGGTGATGCTGTACTTGTAGAGTCAATCTATCTGCAAATGGGTTTTCAAACTATAGTCACAGGCCAACAATTTCTAATTACATTTTTTTATAACCTATAACATGTCATTCTTTAGAAGCTTGCTGCAGAGCCCATGATGTAAGATGCATGGCAAGAGAACTGGATATGAGACTAAGAAAGCATATTTATGTTTATAATAATAAAATGTGGCTTCACTAAACAGTTTTTATAAAATATGTATAAAGGATCCCATGGAATTAAATATCCCAAGAGTTTAAGGAATATGAATAGTGGCCCAAATTATTTAATCACATAAAATATTTTAATTCCCTAAGTGAACCTTTTCATGACAAGACCAAAAATCACTAAGTGTGTTTTACTGGAATGTCACGTATGGTTCAGTGAAATGAAAAAATTAAGTGGTCAAATTACAAAATTTAGTATACCCTATATTACTCTCTCACCACTTATCCCTCCTTCCACAACTGGCACTGAAATGACTGGAGCTAACATCCTAGGGGAGCAGTGATGGCACCACCCCCCCCCCCCCCACAAATAAATATGTTCTGGGTCACAAAGCCAAAAAGCATTGAAAGGCAGAGGATAATAAAAGGCTGCCTACATTTTTATTTTAGTGCTTTGGTTAACACTTTGTACATTTTTATTTTAGTACTTTGGTTAACACTTTGTGCATTGGAACCTCATCCCTATCCATGTGGACTTGAGATCATGTAAAAATTGCTCAGTGCAAAACAATTTAAAAAACAACTTAATTTCTCAAGTGAATGACAATTTTAGGGAGAGACAAAGTATGGGAAAGATCTTGTTTACTTTAGAAAAGACCCCAGGCACATCATCTTTTATGATGCAATTCCCCAGCTATGCAAAAATCATTGTTACAGCTTGTTGAGATTAAGTTTTTTTTTTTTTTTTTTTTTTTTTAACACCTGCTGTCTTTAGAAGACTACAAGTCTCTCACCTTCTTCCTGGTTACATAATTTAGCCCGAATGTGTTTTCAGAAAAAACAAAACAAAAAAACACTGCCAACCTTCTGCAAATAAACAGTACTGACAGCTTCCAAAACCGCAACAAAATTAATAGGCTAATAGGTATTTCATGGAATTGGACGATTATACGCATTTTGAAAAAATGTGGATGGAAATATACATCAAATACATAATATACATACAAATTTAAAGTTTTATCCTTTAGATTTAGTAGGAATTGTGTAAGTTACCTTGTGTCTGTTTGCATTAACAATGATTTTTAATGTACTATTATTAAAAATATTATTTTGATAAACCTTTGTGCAACTATCATGGAACCTAAAAAATCATTTCCACAATCTTTTATTCTTACCAGGCTTGTGCTTTCAGAAAATGTGTGACAAATTCTGAAAGCTGTAAAAAAGAAAAAGATAAAAAAAAGTGAAAGTTTACCAAAAATGGTCTGGCAATCTGAGGTGTAAAATGCAGAGCAGGGACCAGCAGTGAAAGCGATAATGGCTTCCTAATGCATCTGCTGAATTGCTAAAACCAGTGCAAGTGTATTTTGTTCCATGTGCTGAAGTGTGTTAAAAGTCCAATCACAATGAAAAAGCAGTCTTAACGCAATACGCAAAAACATGTACATATCTATAATCTTTTCTGTTCATTCAAAACAATGAAATCTAGATTTATCCACTCAACATGTATATTTGGCAGTTAGGTTGATGCATAATGTACAAGTTCTTGTATTCTTACCTGGTTTTAATTTGACTCTTTTTAGAAGCTGCCTCACTCGCTGTCATTGGCTCAGGTAAAGATTGGGGAATTGTAGAATTCTGAAAAATTATTCAGAAAAAGTAAAATTAGTTTTCAGAAAATATAACAAAATTTACATTTTGTCGATACTTAATGCATTTTTCAACTCTTCAGAAAATTAATAATTTCTCCTAGCCAAAAACAGCTTTTTTTTTGGAAAAAAATGTAAACACTGAAAGTTTAGCCTATCACAATTTTAAAACACTTGGTGAGGAAAAATGTCTTTAACAAAGAAATATTTTACCAAATTACTCCATATTCAAAATACTTTAAAAGTATAGTCAAATTGTAACAAGCTTATGGTCCTAACTCCTATTCCTTTAGTCACTTTTGTTAGCCATATACTCCCTCCAGATAGAATAGATTTATAGAGGCACAATAAAAATCAACAATATAGATTTCATTTGATATAATCTACAATGCTCTTCTATTTAAATGTTTTTAAACCATGGTTTCAATTCACAAAGCTTTAAACACTAGCCTAAGTCAAATGTCATGTGACTGAAATTTTCTGAATTCATCAAAACTAATTGAAAATAACTGTCACTTTAAAATAACGATATATATCCTGTTTTAGATTTGTGAATTGCATCAAATGCTGCAGAGAGAGCTGCAAATGTACCATGTTATAGTGTAAATTTGGCAAGTCTCCCATCTCATCCAAAAGCCATCCAACTGAGGGGTGGACAATATAGCAAACAAACACTAACAGGTCAAAAGAGGGCTCAACAAACTTAAGCTTGAAGCACTTTATGCCCAAAAATGTCCTCAGATTAGGCCTGAACATTCATCTGGTAAAACTCAACAAATGTGTAAACAGGAGACCAGATGGCAGCCTTACAAATCTGAAAACAGATGGCTGATGCTGAACAGTCCCATAAAGCATTAACGGATCTGGTAGTGTGCACCTTACAGGAAAAGGGTGGAACATTATCCTTTGGACCATAGGCTTAAATGATGACTTGTCTGATCCATTTGGCAAAAGAAGAACAAGGAGGAGGGTGCCCCCTATGGAAAACCCGAAAAAGAAAATCCGATTATCTAAAAGACGCTATAGATGAGAGGTGGGCTTGCACTGCATATTCCACATCCAGAAAGTGGAGAGACATTTTCCTGGAATTTTTTGGAGCAGGACATAAAGGAGGAAATAATAATGTATTGGTTAAAGTACAGTGTAACTAAAGACAAACATTTAGAGTGGAGAGGGATTAGAACCAGTTTTACTGCCCCCATTAGGGAGCTTCTCCCTCTCTATTTGATCAGTTTACCATTATCATTGACAGTAAAAGAACATCCCAAATTTTGGGCTGTCCCCAAAAAAGTAATAGCAGGGACATTTTCCACTGGGGACACCCAAAATATTCCCTTAATTTGCACTTCCTGTTTTGGCTATGGGGCAGGAAGTGAAGGTAAATCTCCCCAATGGGACAAACATAAACCTTACATCCAAAACTAAAAAAAAAAGTTTTGAGTACAGTTCTACTTTGAGGCAGAAAGAAAAAACCATCTGGGCAGAAAGGAGGCCTTGGACCTCAGAACAACCTAAGCCCTGTTTAACACTAAGTAGTGTTCTTACATGATACGGTTGTAAGTTCAGAGAGTAACCTTGCAGATGAAATAGCAGAGGGGAAGGAACATTGTGAGTGAAAGTAATCAGGTGGATATCCTCAATAGGTTCAAATGGCAGTTTCGGAAATACCGACAAAACCAGTTTAGTTACAAGTGTCACAGGAAGCGTACAAGCAGAGCAACGTCAGCAACAACCTACACAAAAGCGTTCACTGAAAGTGAGGCAGTCTGTCTTTAGAAAATAATGGCTAGGGTCGATAGTACACAAAGCCACACGCTGATCCAAATTGGATTTGCAGGGGTGTCAAACTGGCGGTCCACCAGCTGTTGCGAAACATCATGCCTCTGCCTTTGGGAGTCATGCTTGTAACTGTCAATCTTGCAATGCCTCATGGGACTTGTAGTTTGGCAACAGCTGGAGGGCTGCCAGTTTGACACCTGTGGATTAGAGAAAAGATAGGATTTGTCACACAAAGTACTATCTAGGGTGTAATTTTCCAGCCTGGCACCATGTAAAAGGTGCAGTGGTAAACTTTGCGAGAAGTCAACTTCTTACCAATAAATGAGTAGGGATAACTGAATCTGATAGGGATAACTGAATCCAATATGTTGAATATGTTGGAATCCTGTCCCCAAGACCTGGGCTCTTAAAGCCAGCAACCAGGAAGCAAGATGGTGGATTGGCCTCTGGGACAAAGAATCTGCATGATATAGGAGGGCCCATGGATAGTATGCCAGGAGCCTAAGTATGTCCAAGTTCCATGACCTACTGGGCCAGTATGGCGCAATGATGATCACCAGAATACCCTCCATCTCATTTCTACGAAGCAGACATGGAAGGAGTCTGGAGGAAGAAAGGCATGGATATGGTAGAAATGATCCCTCTGTGTTACCAGAACATCCGCTTAAGTCCTGGCCCTGGCAATAAACTTGTCCAAAAGGTCCACATCCGGTGTTCCCTTACCTGCAACAGGGAGCATGAAACACCTCCAAGTGAACAAATCATACTCCGGGATCAAGACACTGATGGCTGAAGAAGTCCGCCTACCATTTTCCATGCCTGGCATGTGCACCATCAAGACCAAACAGAGTTCTGAGGTCTGATTCTCTTTGAGCTGCATGGTTTCTGGTGCTTCCCCCAATAAATGAAATAAGCCACTGTCATGGTACTGTGTTACTGAATCCTGGCCAGGTGACCTGTCAGCTTATAAGTCAAGCACTGAAATGACAACCAATGTGCACTGAGTTCCAGTATATTGATAGGAAGTCAAGCTTCCTCTGACCATCAAATCCCCTGTACTACGAAAATATTCAGGACTCCACCCCAAAATGGTGTCCATCTTAAGTACCTTCCAGGCCATTGGGAGCAAAGATTTTCCCAGTTCTATTGCTCAGTTGGAAATCCACCACACTCAGGCAAGCCTGATTTGCTGGTCAAGTGTAAGGGGTGAGCTAGAGCCTGTGTCAACTTTTCCTACTTTACCAGAATGTTGCATTGCAATGGCCTGAAGTGAAACTGGGCAAAGGGAACTGCCTTGAAAGGGCATTAGGCCCTGAAAGCTTGTGAAAAGGAAAACAGCGTGGTGGCTCATGGACCACATAGTCCAAATGTATACCAGGGGGGAGGAAGACCTTGGACAGGACCATATCCAAGACTAAGCCCAGATACTCCAATCGATGGCTTGTTTACAGCGATTATTTTTGGATCCATCAGAATCTCTGCGAGTCTGAGAGTGACTGGACCTAGTTTCCGTTTAGCACGGGATTGAACAGATATTCAATGATGTTTATATCCTGAAAGTGAAATAGAGCTAGGGCAGGTGCTAACACCTTTGTGAACAAATCAAAGGGAAGGAAAACAAATTTGTAATATTGTGTGTCTACAGCAAAATGCAAATAATGTTGATATGATGGCCTCCTTTTACTTTGGGAACAGTGAATTGATTTCAGAACCCCTGAAATCTTTCCACTTCTGGGACAGGGGCAATAACTCCCTGAAATAGTTGGCTAGATAGCAGCACAGAAATCCACTAGCTTTGTGGGGCGGATGGTGAATTTGACATAAAGCAGGGTGGAGGCAGAGACCAAAATTCTAGTTTGTACCCTTTGCATTGCTAGGAACATAACCTGGAACACGTTTTTTTTTCACTCTACAGGACAAGCTAACTAATGGAAAAAATAGAAGTCAAAATAACAAAGAGGCTAAAATGTTGACATCAGTATAAAAATAGAAGTAAAAGCATTAGTAAATGTGAGTTATTATTTGCTTGTATCTATATACAACATATATATGAAACTTTTATATATAACTTCTAAAACATATTTAAAAAAAATTTAAATTACCTTGGCTCAAAGGAAAATGTATACATGCAACACATTTCTTACCTTTTGGGGATATTAAAACTAAAACACCCATTCAAAATGGCTTAATCATTGTCAGTGACTATGTTAAACATGAGGGTTCTCCAGATAGGATATAGCCATTTTGAATTAGGCTTTAAGTTTTAAATCCCGTAGAAGGAAGACATATACACTAAGGTGTGCATACGAGATGGTATCACGCAGATTCACAGGGAGCACCGACCTTCATAATCATCAGTGTGCCAAAAGACATCGTCCTGTGTACATCGGGAGCTGTGAAACTGCTGCTGGTCTGACCATGTGCATTACCACATCTGCTATTTCATCATGGACAGAAAGTTAGAGCAAATGTGAAACTCTACGTGGAACTGGGCAAATCGCTGGATCTCCAAAATGTTATCAAAATGGCATCCTTTGACCTGCATAATTATCTTCGCAAGAGGGCATTTTCAGGGGTTGAGCTTGTTGAAGGTCTTGTTGATCTCTCATCGTCTTCCAGTATTGCTCTTCCGCTCTTGCAGCACGTGTGCAACTCAAAATGCCTCAAGCAACATCGGCGTAAACTTGCCAAATCATGTCAAACGTCTCTGTGGCAGATGTGCCCAATTTCACGCAGAATTTCATGTTTGGTCTTTGTTCTAACTTGCTGTCCATGATGAAAAAGCAGATGTGGTAACGCACATGGTCAGAATAGCACCAGCTGCACAGCTCCTGGTGTACACAGGACAATATCTTTTGGCACATGAAGGGCAGTGCTCCCTGTGACTGTGTGTGCAGCCTTGTGCTGCCATCTGTTGGCGATTTACAAAAGTAGTCTCGAAACTTTTTGAAACCACCTTGTATGCGTTTCTGTTTTGGGTCATTATAAGTCCAATCCTCTCATTAATAAACACATATTACTGTATGTCATTTTATAAGAGTACAATCTGAAGAGTGGTATTGAAAAGTATATTTATTTAAATATGGAGAAATTGAGGCAATCCATATTTCTACCAAAGTATTATTGAAAAGAATTGCAAGAGTACGGTCTCGGCTTTCCATTCTCCAAAAGGTGTCTCATTTATGTATACTGTTTAACATATTTGCATGCTTGGTCTGTTAGAAATATTTAGAAAAACTATGACTTTGTATACAATACTCACATATACATTAGGTACTGGACAGTCTCTCTTGGCCAGAATAAAGGCAAGGTATGACACTTGGTAGATGTCAGGTCTTCGTTCCTGATCAGGTTCCAACATATACCCTGAAACAAAAGTTAACACAGTAGAAAGGTCAACATTAATACCAAATGTAAAGGCTACATATTTCAGGCAAATCTAATGCAAATCCAGTCTTGGATTATTTCACAAAATGGAATGTGATAATGATCTCAGAAGTTAATTTTCTGTGTAAATGGTACATTTGTGCAATGTATTTAAATGTCTTTCAGACAAGAACTAGGGCTTAAATTCAGTTTATTTTACGGCTCAAGCAATGCATGTCTAACTTTGTATTGCTTCTAAACATTTACTGGTAGCATATATTATTCAAGGATTGGAAGAATTTCCACATGGGATAAACATGCAGACCTCTGGCAATACACAAATGGAAATGGTGCCAGTGCTTACCCTGACTAGCACAGTTACAAATAGCATTATAAATTATTAAATGAGTAAAGAAAAGTATATTAATCCCGATAAACATGAATTATATGAAATAAAATGCAAAATCACTGCATTAAACCAACACATATATGTGTTGGTTTTAAATATGTGTTAAACCAACACATGTACAGTTGTGTTAAAAATAATAGCAGTCAGACATCACTAACCTGATCAATCACTGTTTTTGGTAGAAATATATTTCTACATAGCAAATAATTTACTAGCAGGTGTAGTAGAGTATTAGAAATCCAACAGACCCAACAGTCATGACATGCATGCTGCTGATTCTGTGTAATTGAATCACTAATTGAAAGGGGCATGTTCAAAATAATAGCAGTGTGGAGTTCTATTAGTGAGGTCATTCATTCTTTGAAAAACAGGTGGCAATTATTGCCCTTATTTAAGGAAGGATGGCAGCAAATGTTGTACATGCTGGTTACAGTGCATTTCTCTCTGAAATTCTGAGGAAAATGGGTCGTTCCAGACATTGTTCAGAAGAACAGCGTACCTTGATTAAAAAGTTGATTGGAGAGGGGAAAATATATAAAGAAGTGCATAAAATGATAGGCTGCTCAGCTAAAATGATTGCAAATGCTTTAAGATGGCAACAAAAACCTGAAAGATGTGGAAGAAAGCGAAAAACTACCATTCGAATGGATAGAAGAATAGCCAAAATGGCAAGGACTCAGCCAACAATCAGCTCCAGGAAGATCAAAGAAGGTGTAAAGTTACCTGTGAGTACTGTTACAATTAGAAGACGCCTATGTGAAGCCAAGCTATCTGCAAGAAGCCCCTGCAAAGTCCCACTGTTCAAAAAAAAAAGACATGTGCTGAAGAGGTTACAATTTGCCAAAGAGCACATTGACTGGCCTAAAGAGAAATGGTGCAACATTTTGTGGACTGATGAAAGTAAGATTGTTCTTTTTGGGTCTAGTGGCCAGAGACAGTTTGTCAGACGACCCCCAAACACAGAATTCAAGCCAGAGTACACTGTGAAGACAGTGAAGCATGGTTGCGCAAGCATCATGATATGGGGATGTTTCTCATACTACGGTGTTGGGCCTATTTATCGCATACCAGGGATCATGGATCAATTTGAATACATCAGAATACTTGAAGAGATCATGTTGCCTTATGCTGAAGAGGAAATGCCCTTTAAATGGGTGTTCCAACAAGACAACGACCCCAAACACACCAGTAAACGGGCAACATCTTGGTTCCAGACCAACAAGATTGACATTATGGAGTGGCCAGCCCAATCCCCGGATCTTAATCCAATAGAAAACTTGTGGGGTGACATCAGAAATGCAGTTTCTGAGGCAAAACCAAGAAATGGAGAAGAACTGTGGAATGTAGTCCAATCATCCTGGGCTGGAATACCTTTTCACAGGTGCCAGACGTTGGTTGACTCCATGCAACACAGATGTACAGCAGTTCTCAGAAACAGTGCTTATACAGCTAAATATTCATTAAGTGATTCAAAGGAAAGCAAAATCTTCAAACATTTTTCAGTTTATATAGTGAATGTTTGAGTTTGTAAAGAAGAATACAAACACTGCTATTTTTTTGAACAGTCTAATATTCACGTTTCTTCAATTGTTTTTTAGAGGAACACCACAAATTTGATATATTTTTCTTCATGTTTTGATTTGGAATAGAATGTGTAGTGTTCCCAATGCATTTGTGTGTATGGAAATAAAAGCTATTAGAAGGATTTTGAGCTTTATTCACTTTTTTCAACACACTGCTATTACTTTGAATACAACTGTATGTGTTCCTATAAAAAAAGATGGTATTTGCTACTTTAAACCTAAACGCCAGGCAGATATAAAATATACAAATAAGCTAGGTATTTACCAATAAATTTAAAAAATTATAATTTTTAATGCAAGAACCTAAATTTATCTTTGTATCAGTCCCTTGCAAACCCTTATACAGCAGCACACAGGCTGGGAGAGAGAGGAGCAGGGCTTGTAGTCATTTATCTGTGCTGCATGCAAATGTGTTGACAAGAAACATGCTGACTGGAGGGAAAAAAAAAGAGCATAGAGATGATCTTATCAGCATTCTGCTTTTTCATTGTTAATTATTCAGTAGATGGGCTGGATATTCCTCAACTGTAAGTGGTTTGTCACATTGGCTGTACTATGAGGAGCTACAAAATATCAGACCTGGATAAACAAAAAACAAAATCTATTTTTTTTAAAGCACCTCCCTTATATGTATTTCACCTGTGTGTTTAGCAGTTTGTCAAAAGTTCAGCTTTAAAGTGGAAGTTCAGCCAAAACCTATTCAATGCCCTATTCTAAGCCTCATTTATCTAACCCTGTGAAAGGAAAGATTGCTATACTTACCTAATCTAAAGCCGCTCCCAGGCTGAGCTGTCAGTGGCAGTCTCTGTGTAAAGTTGAAGCATCCGACAAGGGATACCCCATATTAAGTCTTGGGGTGACGTCATCTCCTATTCATTTCCCAGCCGTTGTCAGCTTTCTCTCTCTACACAGAAGATGCTACTGGAACCAGATAGGAGCAGCTTCAGAGTCGATAAGTACAGCAATTTTTTCTAGCATAAGGAACAAACTATTCAGTTTCAGGGAGCGTAAAAAGACACGTGGCAAATGGGGGAAAAAAGCAGTTCAACCTTATACTGTATAGGGGGTTCTTTACTGTTAAAGTGGGAAGGATGTGGAACTCCCTTCCACAATCAGTGAGAAATGGTATTGACAAACACACGAGTTGAACTGGATGGACTGGTGTCTTTATTCAATCTTACAAACTATATAACACTATATTGTTAATGAAATGGATGACACGCATTCAAAGTGTAGGCCACTCTTCACAGTCATGGCTATACCATCTCCTTAGAACACCAAACTCCGCCCATCATGTTTTATTACCAACATCTGCAACTTTTAATGTCATTACCAACGTCTACTTTTTTTGATGTGAGTTTTATTGCATTTATTTTATTGAATACAATTTATATGGAGTACACTATGGATGTCCTTTGAGCAGATATGTAGGATTAATTTCCTTGGGCTGGACTGGTTGCTTGATATACGATGCTAACCTTACGTGTGGTTTGGAGAACTTCTGATACCTGAATTCTGAACACACATATCTGACCTTTGTTGAGAAGGTCTGCATTGAAGGTGAGCAGATACCCTTGAGGAGGGGGGTTCGGTGGAGGCTTCCTGCTTCGAGAGCCCAGTTCCTCATTTATTTTGGAAGATTTGTTGGACTGAGTGAACTGAACACTGTTTTTCACCACAGGCTGGTGAACACATTGATGCTGCTTTTCAAGAAAGGGTGACCCAAATCAAATTTGATGCACTGACCTATCACTTTGATGTAGGTTATGTTTTATTTTATTACTGTAATGTCTTGAATTTGATCACATATCATTAAGTTATTAAGTACAGCACATTATACTATTATTGATTTTTTTTTCACTATTCACAAGCAGATAAAAAATAGTAACTGTTGCGTGGAATTCTGTTTATATTTTACTTTTTGCTATACATTTGATATTTGTCAAAACTGGTACTTACTAATTAAACAATGCAATCTGTGATTACATCGAGAGTTGTCAGGGATGGTGAAGCTTCCATCACAGATGGCAACCTGGCTTTCTCCAAATGGAAGTGTGAAAAAACATAGTTTGTATAATAAACAGCCGAGAGCCTGGAAACAAAAAGCACAGTGTAATGCAACTTTCCATCTACAAGAACTGTATATCCAATAGCTACAGTCTGTACTGTATTTAAGTTTTTTTTTTTTTTTTGGTTAGATGTGAACATGTATGTTAGTAAAAAATATTATTTAAAACATCCTGCAATATCAGAAAAATACCTATTGATCTGCCAGAGATACACTCAGCTGCCAAATTTTGATGTGGGCCAACACTTAAACTTTTTGTGCACTGAGTGTTGTTAGCCCTGCCGAGTTTTACCAGAATTACTCAGACCTACCTTCTCTCCCAACTCCACAACATAAAGGCTACTCAGTCTGTATTTCAAAGTGAAGTATTTATAAGAGCCAATTATTCTCCCTGAGATAATACAGCAAGTTTATACTGAACATAGGCAATGCTGGTTTCAAGTTACAGAATTCTTTTCAAGTTATATATTTTTCTTAAATATTTAAGATGCCATTTATGGTATGATTGTTATTAGCACGGTGTATTTATAAGAGAGGTTAATTACTTGAGTTGGGGGTCGGATAGCGCTGCTCTATATTTTTTCACGAATGCTGAATTTCTGACATGATGAACAGGTTTTTTTTTGCACTTCTCAAGCAGATACAACAAAACACTTTCACTGATATAACAGACCAAAGGGAAAAAAAATAAGAGAAGTTCATTATTCAAGTTTGTATACACTTTAAGCCTTTTCACATATAAAAGTAGAGAGATGCATGTATGGTTTCTTCCGCCTTGATGGGCATACCCCACAAGGATTTTCAGGGACAGGGCTTAGACCATGGCCCCGGACTTGTAAAGCACCTGCAGTTAACTCCATGTGTTGCACTATGTGCCAAGCGAAGCACCTACAGGAGCATTACAGTCCAGCCCTGCTTCTTCCATCTGGCAGTCCCCCAAGGCTTTATCAAGGAGTCAACCGATCTGGAAGCTGCAGAAGATGCAGTGGCTTCTTTGGTGTAGCAGGAATCTTGAAAGAAGATTCATCTTGTGGTGGAATATCATCATCACAGAGTGAAAAAACTCCATACTAAGAAGGTAAGATTCTCTCACTGGAGGCAAGAGAAAATGTCCATCACCTAAGGATACTGGCAAAAAACTGAGGCTAACTGGGAGTGGGAGGGATTGTGAAGGGAAATGTTCCTTCAATCTTTGTTCAATCACCTGAAGGTTAATCTTATCATCAGTTTTTCTTTGGAAACATGTCTCAAATATTGAAATCCTTCACCTTCCTTGTTCATTGCTATCACAAAACTTTTTATCAGTTCTGATTTTTATGTGAAAAGGATGCAAGTGGTTCATGTGCTATGTTTTTCTGTCCTGGAGCTAAATTCTTGCGTAGTGCCAATTTCTTTGTAATGTAATGCAACTTTCGTATTGGCTGTCCCATTTGCCTATGCAAGTACTTGGTATATCCAAGCTTCGTTTCAAGCAACAGAGCCAATATTTCTAGATCTCCACACATATTCCAGTTGTACTTGGTGTACTGGATGTGCTACAAAAAGTTCCATGCTTTCTTTTCTTTCATGGGTGCAGCATAGCAGACCGGTATTGAAGGGTGTGCCTTACCATTGCATAACAAGAATGACTTAAGTAAAGAAGCCTAAAAAGGGCTGCACCACTAACCAAATCCTCCGCGCAGCTTATTCTCCCCCACAATCTAGCCCTGTATTGGTCATGATGAAGCCAAGGGACAGTCTACAGTCAGAGCATGGGGGGGAGCGCCTTCTACTGATGGAGTGGAGGATGAAGTAAGTAAAATTGTTTCCCCTCTCCCATAGACAAAATGTTTTGTTAACGTTTGCAGACCAGATGCAGCCCCACTGCAAAGGATAATCTTACATTACATTTTCCCAGAGCTGGGCTTTAAATTATGTTAACGAATTCAAAGACAGACATTTTGGACATTTTTGTACCTGATAATAGAAAACACCATCCTTGCAGTTTTGAACCCACTGGTTCTGCATTTGACTTTGACAAACATAAGTTCCTAGAAGGCTTGTTTAATTCTGACTGTCTTATGAGACAAGGCTGACCAGACATACAGGTGAAACTCGAAAAATTAGAATATCGTGCAAAAGTTCATTTATTTCAGTAATTCAACTTAAAAGGTGAAACTAATATATGAGATAGACTCATTACATGCAAAGCAAGATAGTTCAAGCCGTCATTTGTCATAATTGTGATGATTATGGCTTACAGCTCATGAAAACCCCAAATCCACAATCTCAGAAAATTAGAATATTACATGCAATCAATAAAACAAGGATTGTACATAGAACAATCGGACCTCTGAAAAGTATAAGCATGCATATATACTCAATACTTTTGCAGCAATTACTGCCTCAATGCGACATGGCATGGAAGCTATCCGCCTGTGGCACTGCTGAGGTGTTATGGAAGACCAGGATGCTTCAATAGCGGCCTTCAGCTCTTCTGCATTGTTCGGTCTCATGTCTCTCATCTTTCTCTTGGCAATGCCCCATAGATTCTCTATGGGATTCAGGTCAGGCGAGTTTGCTGGCCAATCAAGCACAGTAATCCCACGGTCATTGAACCAGGTTTTAGTGCTTTTGGCAGTGTGGGCAGGTGCCAAGTCCTGCTGGAAAATTAAGTGAGCATCCCCATAAAGCTCGTCTGCGGAAGGAAGCATGAAGTGCTCCAAAATCTCCTGGTAGATGGCTGCATTGACCCTGGACTTAATGAAGCAGAGTGCACCAACACCAGCAGATGACATGGCTCCCCAAATTAACACAGACTGTGGATACTTCACACTGGACTTCAAGCATCTTGCAGTGTGTGCCTCTCCATTCTTCCTTCATACTCTGGGTCCTTGGTTTCCAAATGAGATGCAAACGTTGCTCTCATCAGAAAAGAGGACTTTGGACCACTGAGCAACAGACCAGGTCTGTTTTTCTTTAGCCCAGGTAAGACGCTTCTGACGTTGTTTGTTGTTCAGGAGTGGCTTGACAAGAGGAATACGACATTTGAAGCCCATGTCCAGGATCCGTCTGTGTGTGGTGGCTCTTGATGCACTGACTCCAGCCTCAGTCCACTCCTTGTGAAAGTCCCCAACACTTTTGAATGGCCTTTTCCTGACAATCCTCTCCAGGCTGCTGTCATCCCTGCTACTTGTGCACCTTTTTCTTCTACACTTTTCCCTTCCACATAACTTTATATTAATGTGCTTTGATATAGCACTTTGGGAACATCCAACTTCTTTTGCAATTACATTTTGAGGCTTTCCCTCCTTATGGAGGGTGTCAATGATGGTTTTCTGCACAACTGTCAGGTCAGCAGTCTTTCCCATGATTGTGATTCCTACTGAACCAGACTGAGAGACCATTTAAAGGCTCAGAAACCCTTTGCAGGTGTTATTGCTTAATTAGCTGATTAGAGTGGGACACTTGGAGCCTAGAATATTGCACCTTTTCACAATATTCTAATTTTCTGAGATTGTGGATTTGGGGTTTTCATGAGCTGTAAGCCATAATCGTCACGATTATGACAAATCACGGCTTGAACTATCTTGCTTTACATGTAATGAGTCTATCTCATATATTAGTTTCACCTTTTAAGTTGCATTACTGAAATAAATTAACTTTTGCACGATATTCTAATTCTTCGAGTTTCACCTGTACATAGTTTAGAGTCCTTATTGTCAGACAAGTGAAAAATAGTAAACTTAAAGTATATAAACCAGAAATTGCAAAAACAGAAGATTTTGATAAAGCTGTATGTGATAGGTTAAATTACAGGTTATTTTCATGATTTGCAGCCAAAAACCCAGAAGATACAGCAAAAAGTGTTTAGTAAGAAAACTCTTTGTTGTGGTTTCAAAAGGATCTCTTTCAGTTATATATACCATAAAATCCGTTATGGAAAAAACTCCAGTGTAATGAAGAAGCAGGATATTGTGTTATGAGAATCTGTAGGCCGAGTAAAAAAAAAAAAGAAAAAAAGCACATCCAACTGAAATATGGAATAAAGCAGCTGCTTCATATATTTTATGATCATTTTGCAAGGCCACATGTAACCAGCCTTTGTTTGGAAACTTAATGGTCTTAATAGGATTTGGTCCAGCTGTACAAAGAAGCCGTGCCAGGCTACCACAGTACCAAATATAGCATTTACCATGTATGGCAAAAAACACATTGCGAAAATCCAAATAGGCTTGATTTCAGTATACCTCACTTCTAGGAAGAAATAAAATAAAACGTGGAGAGTGCACAGCTGTGTGAAGCTTTGCATATAAGTATTCTGTTCTTGTTGCAGTATCTTAATTTTCTTTCTTTTAAATGCACTGCATTATTACACTAGCCTGCAAGGTTGACCAAATACTATCAGACCTTACATCAATTTGCAGTAACCAATACTGGAAAACTAAAAACGGACTTTTGAAACAGACTTTTCCAAAGCTGCTATAATAAAAGAATCATGTTAATTTCTGTGTGTGACAGTCAAAATAGGTGTAATTTCCTGAAGCATTTTTAGATTACAGTGATTTATTCACCTGCAGTGAATGCCTGATGAATGACCGATTCACTGCTTTATAAATACTAATAAAAGTGTACCTGTTCTGAAGTGGGAAAGGTTGGTAACATAACCAAAAGAAAGAAGTATCTTAGTGGGCAGCATGTGCAGGTGAAGGGTGTTAAGGGTATGGCAGCAGGCAGTATATGTGGGCAAGGGGGAGGCAGAGGGTATGACAAGTGGCAGTATGTGCAGGAGGAAAGTGCTATGAGTATGAGACAGAGAAGTATGTGCAGGAAAAGGGTGCAGAGGGTAGGACAGGTGGCAGTATGTGCAGGAGGAAAGTGCTATAAGTATGAGAGAGAGAAGTATGTGCAGGGAGAAGACTGCAGAGGGTATGACAGGTGGCAGTATGTGCAGAAGGAAAGTGCTATGAATATGAGAGAGAGAAGTATGTGCAGGAGAAGAGTGCAGAGGGTATGACAGGTGGCAGTATGTGCAGGAGGAAAGTGCTATGAATATGAGAGAGAGAAGTATGTGCAGGAGAAGAGTGCAGAGGGTATGACAGGCTTTGATACCCCTTGTACAATTACTTTGCAAGTGCCTTCGATTTGTATCTCACAGAAAATGTTTATGAAAAATGTATTCTTTAAAAAAATTGCCTGAAAAGCCATGTGTACTGTGAGGGCATCCCCTTGTATCAATGCCACCAGTGGAGTAATGTGCATGTGCTAGGTGCAGGATACAGATGTATCTATCCATGTGCATTGATGCTACTTTTAGCCTGGATCTCCTCCCTGTTCTTATGAAATGTATATGATGCTTGTAGATGAGAGTTGTCCAGAGAGAGGAACTGTTGGTAGACCTAAGGCATGTACAACAACTTATTATGTCTTTTATAGGATGCTTCCTTTCATAAATATATGAAACCTGAAAAGTTAGCTGTGTGGAGTGCTGTCTATTATTTATTTTTAGTGAAGAATACAGAGGAAGACTGTGTGCCCAAACTCACAAACAAACCTAGACTACACACTTTGAAGCAATTAAACATTTTTGCAGGGGAATGGAACAGGAACTGCTGCTTCTCTCTGATGGTGTCTGGGCTCAGTGTGTTCTGTCTATAGGGTGGACATTCACAGCATACTTAATTGCTGGGACAGTCCTGAATTTCACACAGTTGCCCCAACCTGTCTGTGTCTGTGTCTAGGGATCACAGCATGAGGCTAGCTGCCATATAGTTTGTCAATATACTGTTAAGGTATATGCAAATCACGTTTCATTTATATGCAAATACAGCAGCATATTTAACCTCTTACTGATGCCCCATAGCAGATGTACTGCTACAGGGCGGCTGTGCTGGGCAAAAATCTCGTAAATATACACTATTTTGCATTTCCAGGTAAGGGGCGCTTGCCACCCTACCTGCACAGCTATTGGATCCAGAGGATGTCAATCACTGCTTGGTATCTTTCTACACATCTCTCTATATATCTGAAAATAAAACATCTTTACAAAATAATATTCTTAAATAATAACTCAACTTAAGTAAAGTCCTCAACAAAATAAAAAAAAACAATATCTGCCCCCTCTTTAAATATGTGAAAACCCCAAAATACTACTCCAATGAAACAAAAGGCCATATTTAAAAAGAAAGCCTTGCAGCAAAAAGAAAGAAAATGCAAGGAAATCTCTCTACAGCAATACAGCTCTCCAATACAGCAGTCCCAACAAACTCAACTCAAGTGAAACTCTATAGTATTTCTCTTTGCTTCACTTCCAACAACTACATAAAGGAGGAGCAGATGAGCTGGGCCAGCACAGCCAGCAAAGAGACACTTCTGGATTAGGAGAGGGCTATGACATGCAAGGAGGAAGGAACTGTGTGAATCTACAGAAGTGTCAATTCACTTGCAATTTAAGAGGCACACTGAAAAACAATTTAAAAAATAGTTTACAGAAAAGAAAATGCTGTAAGTATTTAATATGCTTTTACCTGCAATTGTTTTAAATTGGTGGCCAGGTCTTTTTATTTCTTAATTAACAAACAAGGCAATTTTCGGTCATACAACCACGTGACTAGTTGTAAGATGAGATCCATTTTATTCTCTCTGTATAAATACTGCTCTTAGCCCCAAATCAGCTTTTCTCTAACTATTCAAGCAGCTTTGTAGCCCTGAAATTGCTCTCACTGGGTACATACAATATTACTTTCAGTGAAAAGGCTGCTGACAGACCTACTTCATTTTGTTTTGCTTTACTCGGTTGAGAAATCCGCCTGCAAATATCATATGACATCTTTGCAGTTTCAGATTGTTTTTGTTTTGATTCTGCTGTTCCTTTGTGTGACAACAATCCTATTTTCGAGTACTGTCATAAGATAAGACTAAGTGGTCACCAATGTCTCAGAGTATATGAAACCCTAAGTGTGTTCCTTGTCAGAATGAACGAGGTTTGCAAAAAGGACATAGTTGAAGTTAAAAGCAGAAATGGAATAAATCACTGGAATGTGAATGTCATGATAAAAATAGCATGACTTGGTAGATGCAGTTACAGATCTGTCATTGCAACAAATGGTCTTCATCTATATTAATAGGAGCTATGGCTTACCCAGATATCTGCCTTTGTGGTAATCTTCTTTCCCCCATAAAGGTTGATCATTTCAGGAGCTCTGTATGAGAGAGTGGTATATCTAAAAAAAACAAAAACAGGAAAAACACGTTTAAAGCTCACAAGATGTCACCAACGTTTATATCAGACCTGGTTAATTGTATGTAAACCATTGCTACAGTAGACTGGATATTACAGTTAACCCCAAATAAAAAAAAAATAATCAGAATTTCAAATCTTCATAAAGATCAATGAGTGTATAACCATCACAACTTTTCATCTTCAGTAAACATTAAATAAAAGTCCACCCTTTGTAAAAGAAAAGAAAATGCATGTGCTATAAATCTGCAGCTAAAAATGTGCATTTATTATGTCAATGTAAATGAACCTGCAAAAGCATTGCAATTGTGGTCAGTTGATTGCAGGTACAACGCTAGGCTCCAGTGGAGTCTTCCTCCAGCTCTATGTCTATAGTGAGGTCTCGCGATGAGACAGTGATCATTGTGTTCAGCCGGCAGGGAAGGTTTCCCATGTCCAGAACTCAATAGCGCAAATAGCAGATTCCCCCATCAACACTGATTGAGGATAGGTAGGGATAGAACATATTTTATTTCCCAGTGTGGTTGAAAAACTAAAAAGGAAGTCAAATTTAATCAGGTTACCAATTGTTTTTTGTTTTGTTTTTTTTAGCCGCACAGGGCCAATCAGTACTGTCCAAAGGGTTGGGGTCATGCAGCCTCATAGATCAGTCAGAAGAGAATGATTAACCAGTGCTTGGCTGGACACTGATGGTCACAAGACTATATACTGTTGATGAAAAAAGGTATTTAGCAGTTTCTATTTACTAAAATAATTGCACTTCCAGGTTGTGTGTACTGTGGGAGACCAGATAGAGTGAATGCAGGTTCCTGGGTTTTATTAACACTTTAAGTTCTCTATTTGTTCTCTTTCGGCCTGTTTAACAATACCATTTAAACTGTCCAGTTTCCTGTGCATACTTCCTGTACTATTGCAATGTGTCTTAATCAGCCCTCCTAGTTATCTTGAGCTATAGAATAACTAGTGTCTGTCTTGTAGAGGTGAGGGAAGTAAGTAGGTCTGGCTAGTATACAAAACACAACTGGGCAGGGCTGACACCACCAAATACTGTGTGCTGTCAGCACACAAACAGGAGTGAATTTCTGGCAGATCAACAAGTATTTTTCTGTAATTTTGTGGTCTTTAAAGGGATAAACATGGGGAAATATGCATGCATTGCAGAGATATAGAGGATGTGTTTTATTTTAAATTTTCCCTGGCATACAGGTCAACCTTATGCCCACCAGTATTTCATCTCTAATCCATCACTGACACAACCACCCAATACTTACCAGAAACAACTGCTTTGCATCATGCATCTAGTCCTTAAACTATATGATGAATGTTAACAGCACTAGGACAAAGCCAGGACAAGAATGATTTGGGGTTTCAGTTTACATGTGGCTCTCAGCTCCCTTTGATATTACTTTGCAGCAGTTGTTAACCCCTAACTGGAGGAAAATGTATATCCTCGCAAACATAGCAAAGCTCACAGGTTTTCCTTAGGACAGCTTTGCACATCACAGTAAAGTTTTTACATTTTTCTTTTTCATGACAAAAACAATTTTTTTTTTTTAGAATCATGAGGGCATTATTTTTTATATTTTAAATTTAAAAGATACAGTTAAAACCCGGGGAAAAAAAAAGCTATCTACACATTTTTTTTACTATTAACTTGACCCAATGAATACAAGCAGAACAAATTACTAAAAATATTTGTATCTCTACTTATGGTGCCTGAAAACAAATACTGTATATGCTCTTTGTTTCATTTTGTTTCCATTTTTCATTTTTTTTAATTTCCTTTATAAATTTGTATTATATACTGTAAGTAATTTCTGTTTAACCACTTGCCTACAGGGCACTTATACCCCCTTCCTTCCCAGGCCAATTTTCAGCTTTCAGCGCTGTCACACTTGACAATTTGAAAATTTTTATCATTTTTTCACACAAACAGCTTACTTTTGGTGCAAAAAAATATGAAAAAAGGTTTTTTTTTTTTTTTTGTTTCTATTATAAAATTTTGCAAAACAGGTAATTTTTCTCCTTCACTGATGTGCGCTGATGAGGTGGCACTGATGGGCAGCACTGATGGGTGGCACTGACTGCCGGCACGACTGCTGGCACTGCTGGGCACAGGTAGGCGGCACTGATCATCAGGGACTAATCATCAGTGCCGATCCGTCCTCAGACAATTGTCTGTTATCGGCAGTACTTTCCTCACGCTGTCACAGCGTGAGGAAAGTGCAGCCGAGAATCGGCAACTGCATTTACTAGTGATTTGATGTGTCATTGGACACAGCTGATCACATGGTAAAAGGTCACTGTGATTGGCCTTTTACCACATCACGTGATCAGCTGTGTCCGTAGGACACAACAATCACGGAGATCGTGAGGAAAGTGCAGCCGAGAATCACAGCATGAGGAAAGTGCACCCGAGAATCGGCAACTGCATTTACTAGTGATTTGATGTGTCATTGGACACAGCTGATCACATGGTAAAAGGCCACTGTGATTGGCCTTTTACCAAATCACGTGATCAGCTGTGTCCGTAGGACACAACAATCACGGGGATCGCCAGGTACGTTCTGGGAGGATGCCCTCCCAGGACTGTCATCCGGCTATAGTGCAGTTGGCAAGTGGTTATTCAAAGAAGATAGCACAGTTTGTACACATGTCCAGTGTTAGTGGGAGTGGTAGATTCTGGGTCCAATAGTAGTAAAGTATCTATGCAAGTCACACTGGAAATGGCAAAAAAAATAGTGCAGGAATCTTTTCTTTTCAAATTGGTGCGGCACCGTAAAATCGGAGTCACATCAATTTGAATGGTTAAATTGCCGACAATAGGGTGCGACTTGTCATGCAATTTGAAACTGTCAAATCGCATGACAAGTCCCAAGTGAACCAGGGCAAAGACAATTTGCAATTCAGGAAATGAAGTTTCACCTTAGCAAAAAAAAAAAAAAAAAAAGGGTCCCTGTCAACTATGAATGGCTATCGTGGCTATGCAGTCTGAAAGTTTGTAGTGTGACATCGTATGAAAAAAAAAAAAAAAAAAAAAAACTATCTGGCTGTTACATTGAGCTGTCTGATAAACATTGAGTTGCTGGCTCAGAAATAGCATACAAAAACATCTGACTTTTTATCATACTTGTTTTCTGTTGGTCGTCCATAGTCTGGCCACAGATGTAAGTTACCAACTACTTACATATTTTTGACAAGAAGAAAGAATACTTTAAAAAAGGTAAGAAAATGTAAAAAAAAAAAAAAAAAAAAAAAAAACATTTTCTGAAAGTTTCCCTACTCCTCCCCCCCCCCCCCCCCCCCCACTGAGCTGATCCTAGCTACCATTCCTTTCTCAACTGCATACTTACCTACTTCTGGTATTATGCCCAGCCACATTCACTGCTATGTCTACATCCTGACGGCTACTTCTCTTCTTTTCACCACTTGCACATGCACAGTAAAAACCTTGTAGAAGAAAGAAGGGTTTGGAAACTTTCAGAAAACTGTTCTCTAAAGTTTCCGTACCCACAACAGCTATGCAACCAGTAGTTTCAAAAGAAAATCAGAAGCAACATATTTAGGAACACAAAAAAGTGGTGGCAGAAAAAAAATGACCAAATGATCCATTGAGTCTGTCCATTTTTTTTATACATGTGTTGTATTTTGTTGTTGTTTTTTTTTGTTTGGTCTATTGTTAACTTTTTTTTGTCTTGAGTACAGATTATAACTAGATTGTACTATAGAACATAGGCTTATTTTAAAGCCCTACCAGCTTGCTTCCACCACAACCTGTATTTTATCCATCCCACAAACCTGATGGTAAGCAGACATCATATAAACTACATATTCGTAAAACTTTATCATCAATAAAGGATTCCAAGTAACTTTTTTTTCTTAATTAATGGGACTTTCCATCTCTTTACATTAATGTAGATCACCGCTTCATAAAAACTTCAACCACAATTATCTATTTTCTATCATTTTTAAAAAGTTTTACATTCTCCCTTCCTTAACCACTTTCAGACTGGACACTTTTACCCCCTTCCTGACCAGGGCAATTTTCAGCTTTCAACGCTATCACACTTTGAATGACAATTGCGCGGTCATGCAACACTATACCCAAATGAATTTTTTACCATTTTTTTTTTGAGACAGATAAAGCTTTATTTTGGTGGTATTTATTCACCGCTGGGATTTTTATTTTTTTTGCTATGTAAATGAAAAAGTCCAAAAATTTTGAAAAAAGGTGTTTTTTTTATATAAAATTTTGCAAATAAATAAATATTTCATCATAAATCTTGGCCAAAATTTATTCCGTTATCTTTTTAGTAAAAAAAAAAAAAAAAAACCCAAATTAGTTTATAACCAAAAAGTATAATTTTTAAACATTTTTATTTTATTTTTTTAATTATTTTTTATTTTAATTTTTTTTTTTTTTTACATACGGTCACCCTGGCAGTACGTGTCACCATGGTGACACTGTACTACTTGTGGGGAGTGATGATTTTTTTTTTTTTTTTACACTGATTGCTTTTACACCCATATAGGATGTAAAAGCAATCATTTCTCTTTCTCTCTGTGTGCATTCTTGCACTCATTGAGAAGTACTGAGTGAGCTGTGATTGGTCACAGCTTGTCACATGGTACAAGGCTGTTGTGAATAGCCTTGTACCATGTGACCTCTGTGATCATTCACAGATTTCACAGGTAGTAAGCAATGATGTCACAAGTGACATCTTGCTTACTACTTTGCATGTGATAACTGATTGGCCAATCAGTGATCACATGATCGGGACCTCGTACAGAGGTCCCGTCTGACAATCAGTATTTCACTGTGTCCGGAGGACACAGCGGGCACCGGATCGCGGTGCTGCGCGCTCCCAAGGAGCGCGCACAAGCAGGGTGCGGGGAGGCCGTTTATAAACGGCCACCCGACCCTGCAGTGCCACCGTCCGGCCGTTTATATGCAACGGCCGGTCAGGAAGTGGTTAAAAGAGA